AAAAGTGTTAAACATGTCAATCAGATTCACTCTAATTCTTTCTCTTTCAACAGAAATTAGCCTTAGAAACCTTAAACTGTCCTTGTATGGTAACCTTTTCATCCCCGATATCATCCTAGTAGCTCTCCTCTGAACTCTTTCAAACAATTCAATATCCATCCTACAGTATGGAGCCCAAAACTGAATGCAATACTCAAAACATGGCCTAACCAGTAACCCCAACAATGAAATTATAACCTCTTTAGGTTTATATTCAATATTTCTATGAATACAACCCAAAATCTTTTTTGTCCTACCATTAGCAACAGCACACTTTTTTGATGGCTTAAGACAGAGCTCTCAACTGGGTGAATAGGTCACCCAGGGATTAATGAGATCAGAATCAGGGTGAGCGTGAATAATGGGGTGAATAGCAGGGTGAATCAGTATTATCACTTATACTCTGGTTCAGGGCCCTTTCTAAATGATTGTTTGGAAACAAATATAAAACATTATTTTTCATGTGTATCACGCATAGCAAAACGTTCTGTCTTGTCTTCATTCCTAAAACAAGCCCTCGACATCTGTTTGTGTTTATTATCACAACACCATGCTGTGACAAAGTTTGCTTCAAAAATATTAAGTACAATAGGCCTGTTTAATTGTTAGTGATAAGGAAACATCTGGTTCTCCTCATATTTCTTCTATTTATACTCATTCTACTTAGATTTAATCTTCCTCTCTTCAAATATTTTAAAATATTAGTTTCTTCTCACCATAAGGACCTTTAATATTTTTATCATTTTTTTCAAAGTTAGTTATGCACGTTTCTTTTGAATATTTTAAAATCTATTGTTTGACGCTTTATTAATATTAGAAAGCACACAATATAGAGGTGATAAAAACATGTTTAACTTCAGAATTCTATTTCAGTTATGTTGGAGTTCTCCATCAAAAGTTTTCACATTAAATTTATTGATAATTCAATAATATCAATTCTCATACATTTTTAGTACTTTGTCTTTGTTTTCAAACTGGGGTAAGTGAGATGTTGTGAAAAACTTATAGGGGTGAATGATATTGGAAAGGGTTTAGAAGCACTGGCTTAAGAGACTGATCAACCAGAACACCAAGATCCTTTTCTTCCATAACAATGTTAAGGGTATTCCCATCAAAATTATATTTATAATTCAAATTATAATAACCCATATTCATCATCTTGCATTTATTATATTAAAAGCCATCTGCCATATATTCCAATTCCAAATTCACCAAATAACCTAAATCCTTTTGTAAAGCAGCATTTTCCTCCTCACAGCCAGCAACACCCAAGACATTAATCCTCTATCAACAGTGTTGATACACTGGACTGACCTTCTTATAAGTCTGTTAAATACTAAAGAAAAGCAGATTTCTTGATAAAGTATTTCTACTAAAGATTTGTCTGTATATTTATGAAGCCTTTAACACATCAGTCTGCATGAAAAGTGATTTTCATGATAAGAATAAATATATTTTTGTTCACTTTACAGTTGACATAATTCATTTTCATAATCTCTAGAATCTCATAAATGAATGGCAAAAGTTTTTTTAGTAAAACACCGACTGTATAGAAGTCATCATGCACAATAAAAGGAAAAATTCAAAAGAAAATCAATAATACTTTTTCTTGAAAGAAAGCAGATTGTGACACAAAATCAAAATTATTTTTTCAGTAATCTATACTTTTTACACTTTTCATATTTACTTGCTTTTAATTTTATTAATTTAAAATGCTCTTTAGACCCTACCTAAGTATCTGACAGGCAATTAACCACAGTGGGAGAACTTGTGTAAACAACCAATCAAGTAAAAATCATACAAGATAGATAGCTTGAGGTGGTCTCCTGAAACTTAATTGTTTCTTGACTTTTTTTATGTTAACTAACCTAACTAATTTTTAGATTTTTAGTTACTTTTGTTAAAAATATATAACAATAAATTGTGAAAAATAAAAAACAAGAAATTTTGGACATACATTAGAGTTGAAGCTTATTTCAGTAATTTGTCATTGAGAGCTTACTTCCTTAGCACTCATTTTTTCAAATGTTGGTTCTTTACAAAACCACTAATTTTCCTTTCAAATATGTATTTTAAAACACAAAAAAATATCAAGCACTAGAATAGTATGATTTAATTGGCTTTTTAACTAAACTATAAATAGATTTCAATAATATAAAATGGGTTTGTCATTATTTTATATCTCATTAAAGCAAGAAGATAGAAGGTTCTAAGTTTATTTTCTGGCTAATCAATAACTAAAGTATATCATTCTAATTAATTGAAATCTCAGAAAAGCACACAATGATAAAGAGAAAATCTAAAATGGGCATTTAGGAGTGCAGATGCATCATGTGACACAGAGAAGTGCAGACTGAGATTTTTTAAATATTTCCTTTTGATATTAAGATATTAAAAATTAGATAATATTCAAATTATAAACTACATTTAATACCAAGTTTAATATCCTTTGATAATAAAGGTGTTTAATTAAATTTTGAATGTAACTCCTTGAAAGGTTATGACATGTGTATTTTGACCCTACAGTGTACATAGAACTAATATCATTAGCACGTTTAAGTAAGTTACTGATCATTTTTTCATCTGAGTCACTGACATAAATAAAAAGTACAAATGTTCTTACATTGAGCTCTGAGGTACCATACTTGCGACTAAACTCAATTTACAACAATTCTTTGTTTTCTTCCAACCAGCCACTTTTCTGTTCAACGAGCCAACTTATCCTCCACCTCTATGGACATAATTTGGTGCTACTATAGCGTGTGGTCTACAAAGATATTTACACTATAGCGTGTGGTCTACACAGATACTATTATCATCATAGTTTTAATGATTTACTAAAACATAATTTCTTGCTAAATAATTTATATCTATACACGTTTTTGTTCAGCAAATAATAATAATAATTTAATAAGTTTTGTGTTCCAAAAGAATACCTTAAATTTAGGCTATAATTGTGCTACTTTTGGTTGTTGGAATTTATTTCATTCCGATTATATTTGCCTCTAAATCGTTATGTAATGGTATTATATTAGTTTAAAAGTGTTATTTATAATAAATGGCACGAATTGCAAATAAACAAATGTTGAAACAGTGATGATGATAGTATCTGTGTAAACTGCATGCTATAGTGTAAATATATTTGCAGACTGCGCTCTATAGTAACACCCATAATTTATTAGCAAGGCTTTTATGTGATACTTAGTCAAATGCTTTCTGAAAATTCAGATACATCAAATCTATACCCTTACCCTCATCTTCATAAGCAGTAGCCTCTTCAAAGAATATTAAAATATAAGCAAGGCAAAATTTTCCCCCAATGAGACTATACTGACTATCCAATAAAATTTTAAGTTTTGCTAGATAACTTTGTGAAGCATCTTTTATCAGACTCTCAAAATGTTTTCCCACCACTGATGTAAGACTAATAGACTTATAATTACTGAGAAAATTTTTATCACTTACTACTCAAGGAGTTACAAAAAATAGTAGCAAGTAGCTCACTTATCTAATCCTTAACATCCTTAGAAACCCTTGGGGAGATTTTTTCTGGCCAAGGAGCCTTATCATTCTTTAAAATTCCCAATTTTAACTGACAAGATCAGAATTAATGTGATAATCTTGTTTGATCTTGAAGCATGGTGCTATGAAAAAGAATTAGGTATGACTTATAAAAACACCTTAAATTCTTTGGCGTGTATTTAGCTATGCAGAAAAAGAGCTATTAGTTATAGGTTTTACTTACAGGAATTCTAATTTAAGAAAAAAAAAATATTGTAACCTTGTACAAGACCTTTGTGGTCCCCTAAGTGATATGTCATGACACTAGTGAAGTGTTTGAGGAATTCACATAGAATAATTTCTTCCTTCAGATGCACGCATCTGTTGGCACATAATTTCATGACATATTTTCATATGTTACACATTTATTACACTACAGCCAACAATGTTAATAATAACTTTAATATTTCCTACTTACATTATGTGCAATGATCTTGTATCTTGTCTAAGCTTAAACTACAGTACATGATATAACTCAGTCACATGATATTTGATATAAAAGATGTTTACTGTTGACTGGTTTGTGACATACATTTGTTAGTTATTGTGAACATGCAACACCAACATATGATGAACTGAGAAACATAAATACTTCACTGCCAGTAGTGTTTTTTTGTTAATAGTGTTTATATTAATACTGCTTATACAGGCAATATCGTGTCAGTGACAATATACCAGTGCCTGACTGGAATCACTACTCAGCATGTGTACGTCACTTGTCCAGTGTTTATGAACTGACTTATGTAACTTGTCTCAATGTGTTAATAAACAGTTCCTGGGATTATTCCATGCATCTTCACTGAGCTATTCTAGGCTCTTGTAAGTGACCTAGTCATCGTGTTATAGAGCTAGATCATCACATGCCTCATCTAGAGGACTGTGTGAAGTTTGGATCCCCTTACTAGAGGAATGATAGCAATATGTTAGAAAGAATGCAGAGATGGACTACTAAAATGATTCCTAGTATAAGTCACTTAAGCTATGATAAAAGCTTGTAGTTTGGGGCTTAGTTTGTTCAGAAAGTAGAAGAACTGGCAGGAGAGGGGACTTGATTGAGGTGAATAATAGGGGTAATTGGTTTAAGCTTTGAAGGCCTAGATATAGATTGTTCTTCAACAGAATACTTTTCAAATAATAGTTCCAAACTTGTAAAATTGTTTATCTGATGATGCAGTTTTGCACAGCAAGTCTGAGTTGTTTAAGAATGTTAATGGATATGAAGAACTATATTTAATATGGCTAAAAAAAATAAAAGATGTATTTTTCGTTTAAGAGTGACTTTGTGTCACCTTACCTCTTATTTACTTCTTATTAATATTTTATAAAACTATACAAAAAGCATTACAAAAAAAATTTTATTAACAAAAATTAGAAAGTGTAATCGTAAAAAAAATCCTTACTCTCCATCTTTCAAGTCATCTATGGCACAAACCACTCTTTCCACCAAGTCATTTGACTGCTCACTTTTAGATTTGGAAGTCACATTACTTCTAGCACTGTTATCATCACCTAATGGTCAAAAAACAAACATGTAAGCAGAAACAATTGCTATAACTTATTGGCACTTATGTCTGTTTAATATATTAGATATGGCCATATTTTAGATATTATATAGTACTGTATATATTTTGTTAAAAAAACCCATATTGTGTGCTGGTTTCTCTACTTCAACTATTATTGCAATTACTACACATTATGTTCTTAAGTAAAAACTTTCTTTAATGTTTTTATGATTTATACATGGTGTTATAAAAGTTATCATTTTCCTAAACTGAAAATGTATTTCCAAACATACCTACCTCCACTGAAACTAATAACTATATCTCAAACTTCATCTTTGCCACCCAACGTTGTGTTCTCTTGCTCCAGTCCCACTTGACTGCCCTCGGCAATATCTAATTTGCAAAACTTTATGCCGGCCCCTCATAAGCCCTCTATGCAGGTACTGTATATAAGCACTGTATGCAGACAATAAAATCACTTTTGAGACTTACCTCATTCCAGTCACTAACACTGGCTCTTAGTGGGGAGGAAGGGGGGGATAGTGTCAGCAGAGGTAAGTATGTTTGGAAATACATTTTCTGTTTAGGAAAATGATAACTTCCAAAATATACGTACCTCCACTGGTACTAATTGCTAGAATACCACATTGAGACGGCAGAGGGGCCAGTAAGGACAAAGATCATACAGAAAGCATCTACAGAGAACAAATATGTACCACGAGAAGTAGTATCAAAGTGGAGAACATTGCACTACATCCAGAACAGGTATGCTCTTCACCCAGAACTACAAAAAACTGAAAAGGGTGAAATATAATACAAATATGATAGTCCAGCCCCGACCAAACTTCCACAACTTGGATTGGATTTAAGGGGTCATGGTACCCATATCCCACATTAAAGGCCAGGGCAATTGGACCACAGATATATATATATCTTTGTGATAGGATTCCTACCAGTAACCACAGAATGATA